AAAATAATATTCAATTAATCAGACACAATAGGTATTACATAATTTCATATATAAAAAGTTCAAAACTAAGGAAAACTTTAGTGTTTAGCAATGCATAATAAAATAATAAAACTGTGAAGAAAGTCAGGAGTGTGGTTATCTTTATAAGAGAGACGGGGGTAATATTGGGAAGGGGTGAGTAGGGCAAGATCTCTAGAGTTTTGGAAATCTATTTCTTGATCTGGATGTTGCTTATGTGGTATTTGCTTTATAATAATTCATATAATTATACATATGTTTTATGTACTCCTCTATATGCATACGTCACAAGAAAAAAGCTTTTAAAAACCAAGTTCACTTTGACTACTGTGTAGGCAGGCAAATGTATAAGCAGGAAGTCCAGTTATTGAATAAAGACAGGGTGGAGACTTGGACTAGGGTTGAGAAGTGGTCAGATTTAGGAAATATTTCAGAGACAGAGGTAATAGGACTTGATGTGGAATGTGAAGGAAATAAGATGACAAAACAAACACACTGACTCATAAAACATAAGGGCTAGAGCATGCAACAGAATTAACGAAGCTTTTAAAACTGAAAACAGGAATGTGAGGTGCCAGGTTGTGTGAGTAGGTATTAGATAGAGGACTTCTGACCAGTCACCTCAGGGAAGACACAGGAAAGCTGGAAAAACCAACACTTGACACAGACTGCGGAGGAAAAGAATGAAGGATGATACAACTTAAGGGAGCAGTTGACAGTTCACAGATAGAAGATTAATATGTATTGTCTTATTCTCTTTTGCACATTATATTATTTTCGAGACATTTCATACATTACTTCTTAAATAGATTTTTATTTACTTATTCATTTAGATCTACAATTAAAGGCACACCACACTACCTCAAACACAGTAGGCATTCCATAAATTGACTGGACTATGAAGTCTTGAACAGGCACCTTGCACCACACACACATCCGCCAAAATCCAGGAGTAGTCATGGTAAGCCAATATGACAAATATGTGATCCTGGATGCCTATTTAGCAGTGTCTATATAGTATACAATATGTATTAACAGCTTTTATGGTATTGGCCTAGTTTTAACTTTAGGATGTTGCTGGAAATTTCATTTTTGTTACAACTTTTTATCATTATGTAGACTGGTGGGTATGGGCATGAGGTGGAGAAGGTGTAATACAGAAATAATTAGAAACAGAAGTTTGTGGGAAGGGCGACTTCTCAATCATGCCATGTTATTTAGGAAGTCTTCCTGTATGACTCAAGGTTGATTTGAGAATCATCCAAAATTAGGCAATAGTGATAGCAGCAATGCTCTGTCTGGAGTGGCTACTGCAAAGACGCCAGCTACAGCCCAGCTGTGTGCTCCATAGAGCCAGCAAGAGCCAGGAACAGGTGCCCCCTTCTGAGATGGCAGGGCAGGAGCACCACCCTCCCAGGCACAGGCAGCCTCCCAGCCACAGCCGCAGACCAGGCATCCCTGTATTCTCAGGTACCTGGGAAGCCCCTGCCCCTGCAGGCTGAGAAATGCCTGCTCCCACTGCCTGGCCTCTTCCCACTCCTCAGGCCAATCCAATTTCGGAGCCAAGCTGAGGTAAGCCTCAGTGCTGTTGCAACCTGCCCAGGTGTGCTCGCACTCAGGGCAGCACTAACACACCAGGCCCCTATTGCCTCAGCCCCCTCTGGACTTTGGACAACAAACATGGGAGGGAGGCTGAAGGCAGCTCAGTGTGGGTCTGCAGGTACCCCTCAGCACAAACAACCTGGGTGCCATGGATGCTGTGGACAGCAGGTTGACGGCGGCAGGAGGAAGTCTCCTGAGCAGAAAGCGGTAGGTCCTTATGAAGTCCCCAAATTCAAGCCAGAGACAACCTGTGGCCCGGGGCCGGGCTGCCAGTTCTGTGGACCCGAGTGAGAAGTTACAATGCTTTTCGTGGCCACCCTATAGCTACCCTTGGAACAATCAGCAGGCACGTTTTCCCCTCTGAAGCCCATAAAAACCTCGACTCAGCTAGACTCAGGCAGATAACGGGATGACTTGCCTGCAGAGAGGAGCTACCCACTCCAGTTGTCTCTGCTGCACTCATTGGGACAACCTGCCTACAGAAAGGAGCTATCCACGTTGGGTCTCCTGAGTGCTGTACTGTCACTCAATAAAGCGCCTCTTTCCCTTTCTCACCCTCCAGTTGTCTGGTTGTCTGCATACCTCATTCTTCCTGGATGAAGAACAAGAACTTGGGACCTGCTGAATGGTGGGACTGAAAGAGCTGTAGCACAAATAGGGCTGAAACATGCATCTCACTCTCCACGTTGTGCACGATGAGGAGAAGAGAGGAGAGAAGAGCTGTGGCCCTTCGAGGGGCCCAGATCTAGAAGCTCCCCAGCCAGGGCTGTGATACCCTCTTTGGGGCTCTGCAGTTCCTGGTGTCTCCAAGCTTCTGGGAGCCACCACATTCCCTGGTGCCAGCAGTAGAAGCCATGTGCAGTACACCTGGTCCAGCCGCAGCCTCACAGGGAGTCAGTGCCCACGCTGGCACCTGGAGCTGCCCACCCCTCCACAGCTGATGTGCCTGGCTGGGTGTAGTGGCCAGACCAAACGCTCTCTCACTCATGCACCCCTTGCCACTCTGCACCTGGTTCACCCTTGGCAGGCATGGGATCTGTGCTGGTATCATGACTTGAGCGCAGCCTGCCAGGCTGAAAGTGGGTGGAAGGAGCCTAGTGGGTCTGAGTGAAACGGGCAAAGGCACCACCAGCCAAGGAGGTTTCTGGCTGGCAAAGTGACATCCCAAGGATCCCATGATAATAGGAGGAGAGTTTTTTTTTTTTTTTTTTTTTTTTTTTTTTTTT